TAGATGGGGTCCTTGAGTGGGGTTAGTTCTGCTTCAAGACTTCTCACTTGGGAGATGATTTGTCTCCTCCCAGCTGGTCTGGCTTCTTACCGGCTGTTCTAAGGCCACCAGCCCCCTGCTCTAGGCCCCTTCCTCCAAGAAGTTTCCCCGACTGGTCTTCCACCTTGGAGCCTGGCAGCTGCATTGTGTGTAGGAACTGAGGGCGCAGGCTCTGGGGTAGCCTGCTTGGGGTTGTGTCCTGTTTGCCCCTTAGCTCTACCACAACCGTCAGCAAGGTGTGCAATTTTTCCTTCTCTGTAAAATGGACCTAATGACAACCTCAGGGTTATTGCAGGAGTTAACTGAGCCAATGCAGGCACAGGCCCAGCACTTAGTAGTGCTCAGTACTTATTAGCTGCCACTATTGCTGTGATTAGAGAGTGCCATACAGTCTGGTGTTTTGCCTTGTGCACTGTGACCTCATCACTGTGTCACAGCCTCCAATTTAGGTTAATAGAGGAACCGAGAAGGTCTGTCTGGTTCATGGTAGCTCACAGTTGAGGTGCTGACTGGCTGTGCTGGGGGCCATTTCAGGTACTTTTCATGTATTAACTCAGTTGATCCTTACAATAGCTCTGTGAGGAAAGCATTCCTATCCCATTTTACAGATGAGCATATGGAGGCACAGAGAAGCTGAGTGACTTACCTAAGGGCACACAGCTATAGGGGGCAGAATTGGGACTTGAACCTAGGTAGATTGGTGTCAGTCTCTGTGTTCTATTCACTACTGTCTCATTTGGCCCTGAGGCCCAGAAAGGGGAAGACCCTTCCCTGGGTCTCCCAGCAGGTGGGCAGCCTTTGGGGCTCCTGAGTAGCTAGCTTGTTTCCTTCCAAACCTGGCACCATGTCCTGCAGAGCTTGACAGACATGTGCAAGTCTAGAGGTGCCTCCAGGGAGCAGCAGTGTTCCTTCTGCCATCCCTTCCCTGGTGACCAAGTGGAGGGGCTAGTCTACCTGTGTCCTTACTGTCTCAGGTCCCCTTGTGAAGGACAGGGAGACTGTACTGACTCAGTTTTCCAGTGGGGAAGTATGAGCCATTTGGCTCTTTGCAACTCCAGGTGAACTGAGGTGTGTGAGGAGTGCACTTTCATGGGCCTCTCAGACTTCTGGGGGCCTGGTAGCTGGGGTGCTGTCTTATCACTTGAATGATTTTACTAGAAGTTCTTTTGAAGTGGTCTCCATGACCCAGAGGGGCTGAGTCACACAGTAAACAGAATTAGCAGGTCCTGGCTCTTGTGAAGGATGAAGGACACAGACAATGTCTTTGGCAGGGCAGTCCCCAGGGCCACCAGGCTGGCTGTCTTCCAGAGACCTATGTCTCCCCTGGGGCTTCTGTGGGCTTCCATTTGCAGCCTAGCCACCAGCCCAGGTTATCCTCCCTTAGTTCCTGCACTGCTGGTCTGTGGTCATATACCCTACGGGCTTGTTAGCAGCATCCCCTCAGGGCCCATGCAAACCTGTCCTGCCACCAGGTCCCCAGGCAGTTATTCTGCATTCTCTGTATATGACCCTCTGGCCCACACCATCTGAAGCTGGCCTCTCTCTGGCCTTTTCTGGAACTGTTTCCACAGCCTTCACCTTTCCTTGGGCCCTGTTCAGGGCCTTTGTACTTGCTGGCACTTGGGCAGTGGGCATGAGGTGGTGGTCGGTGCCCTACTGCCCTGTGGATGTGTGTGGCTGGGGAGCTGGGACCTCACTCTGATGTGTTGTTCCTCCCTGGGGCCCAGTGCAGACTTTTGGGCTGCCTTAGGGTTTAGAACGGGTGAAGGGCCTGGGGAAAGTGTTGAAATTGTCATTCTCCTTTGGATTGGGCCACAGCAGAGTGTGGGCTATACAGGGCATCAAAGTGTTTCTGGCTAAGATGGGATTACTGTTGGCCTCCAGAGTTGATTGTGACACCCCAAAGGTAGATGATGCCCAATACCCACCCCGCAGTCCCTAGAAGCCACTGGTGTTTGAAAGGACACCCTGTGACTTGGGGGAGTGACTCCTTTTGCCTTTTCCCGACAATCCTGACCACACAGGCCTTTAGGACAACGATAGCCACAGAGACAAAGCATGATCAACACAATGTCTTCTTTGGGCCTTTTTTTTCCCCTTTAATGACGTCCATGGCTCTGGGAACATTGTAAAAACTGGGCCCTGTCCAGTCTTAATCAGTAACCCCCACCAGCTTGAGAGAACCCTGCCAGCTGCCTGTAGTGGGGGTTGGGGGTAATGCCCAGAGATGCAGATAAAGATGTCACACTGCCCCAGTAGGCTCTGGAGCCCAGTCAGGACTTTGGGGACAGGGAAGAGGAACAGAATGTGTTAGTTGGCTGGTGGATACCCCCAGCTGGGGAGGGAGATGGGTGGAGAGAAGGAAGGGCGTCTGCCAAGTTTAATTAACAGTGGAAACTTGCCACGGGGGAGGAGAGAGACGATGTGGAGAGGAGGGGTGATTTACTGGAAGATGGAGTACTGCGGGTGCCAATAATGAGAAAGAAGCAAGTGTTCCATTCTGCCAGTGGCAGCTACCAGAGTGCAGGCTATGCTGTCACAAGCTGGGTTAATCTGAGTGGAGAGATTTCTGGAGATATGAGTAGGAGACTATCTGTGCCTGCTTTCCTGAGTATATGTCTTTTGAAAACAATCCACCACATACCAGCTGACCAGCCTTCCTTGCCCCTGTAAAGAAAAAAGAAAACATTTAAAAGATGGAGATCGAGTTGAGAAAATACATGTGGTGTTGGGCTCTTGTTCCTTGGAGATGTCCATACATTGCCTGAGTTGCATTTGATGTACTGTGTATGATATAGGAAGAGAGGGGATTTGAAAAAAATTGTGATGCTCTTTGTTGTATTGGGACAAAAAATGCAGATGTGAAATGCATAGCAAAACTAATAGTTTGGATGGCACTTGAAATGTCCAGGAGCCTGGACATGGTTTATTCATTTTTTAGTAGGATCATAGAATTTCAGAGAAAGATATCATGCTGCCCCAGCAGGCCCTGGAACCTAGTCTGGACTTTGAGAATTTGGTTCTATCTCTCTTCAAATGATGTACAGGTGGCTCTTTTGACAGCTTTGCCAGATGAGTATTGGGTGTCATGGTCCCCTCCCCTGGCTCTTTCATCTCCAGGCAGCGGTGGCAGTTTGGAGCTGCAGCCTTTTGTCCAGCATCACCCACAGTTCTCAGCCCCACTGCTGGAGGCACTAGAGGACACATTTAATCCCTCTGACAATCCTGCTGGACAAGATACCTACCAACTCATGCCTCCAGTCTTCCTCTTCAGTGCATGCTAAGCACGCAGACTTTTCAGAGATTCTCAGAAAACTCAGTGAGGAGGCTACTAGTCCCGGTCACTCTCCTAGTTCTTGCCTTCCTCAGAACCTCCTTTATCCTGTCTTCTCTCGCTCTTCATCTCCTTTTCTGATGGGCATGGATGCTAGCTCACTGGCATGCCTTTATACTAAGGTTCTCTGTCTGTCTTCCATATATGGTTCTTACTGCCTTCCTGAAGTCTCCCCAATCCCCTCAGGGGTCTCTCCTGTCAGCTGTGCAGCTGTGGAGCCTCCCTCTGCCCTGACTGCCCCGTTCACCCCATCTCTGTACCTTTTCTCCCCTCCTGAGAGTATGAAGGTCTTGGGTCGCTGGTCAAGAGTTGAAATGAGAGAAGACCCCTGGCATCTGGCTCTATACTTCTGCTCTGAAGCCTGAGAACACATCAGCTATTGGCATCTGATACCAGAGCCCAGGCTTGTTCAAAGCCTTTATTGCAAAAATCCCATTTTGGACTCACCTACTCTGCCCAGTTGTACACCTCTTCAGTGTACAGTTCTTTTGGTCCAGGAACAAAACATTGCATGTCTCCCATTAGCTGGTTGACCATGATGTGCGCCACTGCTTTGCTGTGCTTCTCTCGACTCCCAACCTGGTCTTCCAGTGGAGTTGGTTTGCCTTCTCCTTTAATTGTGTATCAGCTACAGCGTGGATAGCAATGCACATGCTTTGTTTCCACTTATTGTGAGATGTTCTTGTTGAAAGGGGTTGGGGACAGGACCTTAGGAAGCATGGGGCCAAACCATCATACTGGCCAGAAGCCAGGGTCTAGCAGACTGAGGGTCCAGCAGACTGAGTGCTTTGCTCAACAGGACTACTCTCTGGAGCATAGGTAGTGCTGGCTCAACCTGAGCTTCCTGATTAAGAGGTTCTTCCTGATGCCACGCGAGTCGCATCTGGTTTTAAAAATATTTTGAATTGCAACCAAATAGTGATGGTTGTATGCCCACAACCAAGAATTAACATTAAGCGTGGATCTCCCCTCCAAAAAAAATCCAAACAAAACTTGTGAATCCCTGCTTTGGCAACGTTGTGATTGCTATAGTTTTCTGAGTAACTTGCCCTTTGATACTGGGGATTGAACCCAAGGCATCATGCACAGGCTCTACCACTGAGTTACAGCTCACTCCTTGTGTAACTTGTACTGAGGAGGCAGACACCAACTAAAGTTTCTGAGGACAGAGCTTGCATACAGTTAGAATGTAAGAACAGAATGGCCAGAGTTGGTGAGTTGCTGTTAAATGTCCTCCTTCACTGCCTGCATGGAAGCCAGAACCATACTGATAAAACTTTGCACCCCATTCTAACTAGGGGTGTACTGCTCCCTAGCTAAGCCTTTCCCCAAGGGTCCCAAGAAGCCAGCTTACCTGCCAACCCTGAGCTCTCTGTGCTTGTTGGTCAGCTCTGAAGCAGAAAGATGTGGGTGAAGTGAGGCAGAAGGCTGGGTGGAAACATCAAAGTCTAGATTCTGCCCACCATACCTCCGTGTTCTGCCTGGACTCCAAGTTCCCAGTCCCTGGTGCAGTGGGGGATCTCATAGCCTCATATTGACTGCAGCTCTGCAGATCTGACAGTGCTTTGGTGTATGGATGAGTGGCCCTTCTGAGTTAGTAACACATAGTCTCTCCTCCCATTCCCAGGCTCCACTTACAGTGTCCTGTCCATCATGCCTTCGGACTCGGAGAGCAGCAGCTCACTCAGCAGTGTGGGTGAGTACCGCCTTTCTGGGGACACCAGACAAGGTCAGGGTTTGGGACATGAGCCAGGCAAGCCCTGGAGGGGCTCATGGCATGAGTAGTTGGCTGTTGTTGTCAGATTACTCATGGGATTATTTTCTGTTGATGCCATTTACACTTTCTCTTGTCAGCAAAAGTCTAGCTCCCATGTTAGGAGGAAGGCCGGTGTGGGTGAGCACACATTTTGCCACTACTTCATTTTGTTAGGGTGTAACTGTCTTAGTGAACCTGCCCCTCCACCCTGGAAGACTGCTGTCTGTGAGACCAACCCCTTTTGGGACTGTCCTCTGTAAGAGGGACTTTGTGCTGCTCCTGGGTAGGAATAACCAGTCCATGTGGAATTGGATGCTTCCCTAAGCCTGGGTTCCAAAAACCTGTCAAGTGGGACAGCACTGTCCCAGATCACTGGCAATGTCCCAGCAGAAAGGTCATGTCACTCTCTTATCTTCCCATGCCTCTGAGTCCTGGGCCCTGTGTTAGGTTCCTCTGTCAGGCACCCTGATGTCCTGCTCTGATGGTGATAGACTGGTGCACCCAATCTGGAGTCCTGGACTTCCTGAAATAGAAGGGCTCACAGAAACCATCTTGTCTAGTTACTGTATTCTCTCCCCTACCATCTCCCCCCAAAATAGAGAAACTGAGGAATAGACATTCAGAGAGGGGAACCCTCATCCCTGAGATTCCAGAACAGCCAGGGTCAAAGTTCACTTTCTAAACAACTCTGGGTGCTAGGGGTGGGCTTGGTATGCAGTGGTGAATAGGGTACATGGGGTTCCTTCACTCCTGGATCTTAGGATCTGTGGAGACAGTTAAGTAACTACTACTACAATATGGTAGGTCAGTGGGATGAAGAGGTGGACGGGGTTCTGTAAAGTTTGCCAAGGCTGCCATAAAAAGTACAGCAGACCAGGGGCTTCTACAGCATAACTTTATTGTCTCACAGTCCTGGAGGCCAGAGGTGTAAGATCAGTGTTGGTAAGGCCATGTCTTCTGAAGATGCCAGGAAACAATTGGTTCTTAGCCTTTCTCCTGCTCTGTGGTGGTTTTCTGGTAGTCCATGGTGTTCTGGACTTCTAGAAGCATTGCCCCAAGTTCTCCTTCATGTCACATGGTCTCCTCCTGTGTGTGTGTGTGTTTGTGTGTGTATTTGTCTGTCTCTGTGTGTCTGAACATATTTCTTCTTTTCATGAGGACACAGTACCTACTGGTTTAGGGGTCCACCTTGCTCCAGTTTGACCCCATCTTAACTTGTTCATTTGCAAAAGACTCTTATTTCCAAATAAGATTCACATTCACATTTGCTGGATCAAGACTTCAACATCTTTGGGGAACTAAACTTCAGTCCATAACTCCTTGTATCCAAGGTTGAAGGAGGGCTCTTTTGGGGTTGCAACTCAGAGCTTCTGAGCTCCTGAGGGTCTTGCAGACTTTGGACATGAGACTGCCCTTCAGGAAGGGCATGGTGGGGGGCAGTTAGAATATGTGGAAGCTCAAGGTAGGGCTGTTGTACAGTTGTGACGTGGGTGAACCGTGAGACCTCCTCCCCGCCCCCCCACCCCACCCGTCTCTCTCTTGCCTCTGCTTCTCATGCTTGAACCAATGCTGCAAACTCATTCACATGAATACCTCACAGCTGATGGTGCCAGGAGCATGAGCGTTCTCTCACAGGGGCTCCAGAGAAAGGTGTTGTTTTACCCACAACAGTTACTGCTCATGGGGGCATTTTGAGCCTGAGCAGGAGATGCTTTTCATATAGCCGGACCGCCACACACTCTGGGAGCTACTGGGTGTAGCTCTGGGTTAGCATGCCACTAACCCACCGACTGGTTCTATACACATCTGGAGCTGGTTCGGTCCTTTTGAGGGAGGGTCAGTGGTGTCCCCAGAGACTTCTTGGACTCCCAGGCTGGCTGGGAGCATGTTCTGCTTTGCATCCTATAGCTGGCTCAGTCTACACTGCCTGTGCCAGGATCTTAATGCTGCCAGTGCTTGTTGCATCCCTTCTGCTCAGCCCTCTCATGCTTTCAGGAGAGTTTTGCTTTCCTTGCTCTTCTGCTCAGAGTTGACATTGTCCTGCGGGCACAGACTGCAGGGAACACCCACTCTTATCGCCTTAACCCATAAGAAAATGTGTGATAGACATGGCCACACATGGGCCAGGTGCTTCGTGATGCAGCTTTGACCCCTTCAGTGCTTGGTGGGCTGTCTACAATAGTAGGTCAGTCATCACAGACAGATCTCACAGGGTCCAGGGCTATGAGGTCCAGTATGGGCCACTAGCCACAGGTGGCTATTTAAATTTAAATGCCTTAGAATGAAGTCAACTTTAAATTTGTAGTTTCTCACTCACATGAGTCACATTTCAAGTGCTCTGTAGTGGCTTCAGTATTGGACATGACAGTTAAAGAACATCTCCATCATCACAAATAGTCCAGAAGAACTATTAACATGTCTCCTCAGGAACAAAGACACTCCTTCTCCAGTATCTCTCAGCCTGGTCTTTTCTCACTGAGAACAACTGGGTAGTTGGTTTCTGCCCAGACCTGTGGCTCGAGACCTAATCCCTGGGGCAGCAGCACTGGGGCACTGGTCATGGATGCAGGTTCTTGAACCTCACCCCCTTTTCCCCATCTGGCCATCCGAAGCTCAGACCTGGGTCCAGTATCTGTGGTTAACCTTATCCCTGGCTGGGGAACTGGGGTGTTTGTGATGGGCTCCTTTGAGGGGACTGATGGGGTCAGTCATGAGACCATCCCAGCACCTTCTGGACAGTTTCTGCTGGCCCAGCCTCACCTATTGAGAGGCTGAGCTTGGCACAGCACACTACAACTCCAGCAGGCTGGGTAACTGTAAGGTTGGGTGATGATGCCCACTTTGTTTGACCTTTCTCTGTGAAAGGTCCTTAGAATAAAAAGATCATCTTCACTTTCCCACTTAATCTCTCAAAAAGAAAAACTGCAAGAGATGAGTCAGAGGGTGAAGCCTTGGGGGTAGGGAGTGTTTTCTCTTGATTGGCTGGGGCCTGGGAGCTTACCTGGGAAGCTCAGATCCTCAGGTGGGCTCTAGCTTCACGTGATAACAGCTCATTACACCTTTGCCAACAACCTCACAGCTGCAATCTCCTTTTGCCGAGACCTCGAGACCTCTGGAGAGTTATCATCAGCTTCTCTGAGGCTGAGTCCCCCCACCATGTGATCTGTCATTGTAACCTGTTCTTCAGATCTGCTCACTCATTTTAGGAAGTTGATCTTTTTTTCCTCCCCTTTTATCCTGACCTAATTTCTCAGTAGCTTTTTCTTTCTCATCTTGGATAATTAGAGAGGTTTTAAGGCAGGGGAGAGACATTCCTGGGTGACATTTGTAAAATGAGCCTTAAGTTTCATGCAGATTGAAATAGCAGATTTCTTCATTATGAAACAGGTCCCTGCCTTGTTGGCAGGAGGAGCTGGAGGATTGCCTATATGTCCCAGGAGTGACTTCTGGGAAGGGAGGCTTCTGGTAGTTTCTGGAGTCATCAGGGAGGCAGAGGCTGCTCCCTGTGACTTCTGAGGGTCCCTCCCTGGACAGCCTTTTGGGTCAGGGGCATCCCGCAGAAACCTGTTTTTCTCAAGTCAACCAAACATGAAATGCCCCCTCCTCTTGGAGCATGTGTTCAGTTCCCATAGTGATTACCTTGAGGCATGGTCCAAAATCTTACCAAGCTGCTGGGGAAACAGGTGAAGAAGTGAGGAAACTGGCCACTGTGCCCTGTGGCGAACAGAAGGAAAGAAGTAGCTCCCATCAGACCATCGGAAGCAGAGAAAGCTTCTTGGAAGAGATAGGGCTGAGCGGGGTCTTCCAGTAGTGGTGCTGTGGAGCTGGGAGCCACTGGGAAGCAATTGGCTATTGCTGCTTGTCTTGGTTTGGGTTCCTGAAAAGCAGACCCTGAGTCAAGGATTCCAGAGCACTAGTTGTCTGGTTGGAGAGCCAGGAATTGGCAAGGCTGCAGCTGCTAAGCCGGGATCTCCCTCCTTTCATTCTGAATGGGGGAGGAGTGGAGTAAGAAGCACATCTGGATCAAGGAGGTGTTCCCCATTTCATCTGTGGTGGATTCCTTTAGGTGCTATGGCTGCTGGCCAGCCAGTAGGTCAAGGAGAGTAAAGCCCACTGGCTTCTGGATGCAGCTCTGATCCTAGCCGGAGGTTCTCAGGCTTTACTAACATCAGGATTAGAGCCACCTGGAGAGGGAAGACATTGAGTGCTGTGGGAGTGACCCCTGGTTTCTGAGTCAGTAGGGTGGTGTGAGACCTGAAAATCTTTATTGCTAAGGAGTTCTCTAGCATAGCTGAGGTGCATTAAGAAGCCATAGTTTGGGATAGTGAAGTGACTAGGTGGCTTCTGACTGGCTTTGGCTGTCCTAGACTATAGGTGAGGCTGGCTTAGTATAATTAATGACCATGTTCTGCCCCTGCATCACCACTCCCTTGATAGCCAGAGCCTGGCAGTGGCCAGGAAGGTACCTGAGCATCACCACTTCACCTGATCACTTTGGCTTGTGCCCGTTTTCTCCTTGGCTTCTGGCACCACAGGCCCACAGGATTCTGAAGCAAAGCCAGCTGTAAATAAGATTGAGCCGGTAGCTTCCAGGATCACTTGGAGTGTGTGATGAGGGAGCCAAAGACAAAGGGCTCATGGCCCAGAAACCCAGCCTTCTGACAGTCTTTTTGCTGAGTTTCAGCAGTGTGTGGTGGTAGCCCCACCAGCCAGAGGAACTGAAGATTTTCCTGATGGGAAACAGGCTCTGCTCTGTTCTGCTCCTCCTCCCTTCCACTCCTCCTCTGCTCTTCCTCTTGGGAAACTCAGATGGCGGCTGCTCTGTCTAAGGCCTGTGCTGGCACTCCTGGCATCATCCAGCACCATTTTTGGTCATTTTAGTCCAAACAAAACCTTATGAGCTCCTGAGTTCCATCCTGGACACAGAAAGGAAAGGAAAATTTGCTTGCTTCTTTGCTGGGTTCTAGACTCGGAAAGGGGAAGGAGTGAGGTTAGGGAGAGTCAGTGGCTTTGCATTTGAATAAAAAAAAAAAAAACTGCACAGGACTGGATAGCAGGGCCAAGGGAAGGGCCCTTGAGGTTTTCTGTTGACAATTCACTCGATGTTAGTTTTCCCCCTTTCCTTCCTTCCCCTTTTCTTTCCTTCCCCCTTGTCCATGCCCCTCCCCTGCTGTTACATCGGTAGTATAGTACCCTATGTGGATCTGCAGTTCTTTCTCATAGTGGAGTAGTGTTCCACTGTGTGCCTGTAACACAGTTGCTTATCCACTCCACAGCTGTTATAATCAAGTACTGGTTTTTGTGTGAACGTAAATGTTCATTTCTCATAGGAAAATCCCTAGGAGTGAGTTTGCTGGGTGGCATGACATCAAGTTTAATTTCATAGGGAACTACCTGACTGTTACTGACTTGGTTGCACATTTTGTATAGCCACAGCAGTGTTTGAGGGTCTTGTTTTATAAGGACCTTGCCAACATTTGGTGGTGGTGGTTTTCTGTTTCAGCTGTCCTGATAGGTAGAAAAGGAACAGATGTCAATCTGTCTTCAAATACTTGTAGGTCTATAGTGCAGGAGAACCAGTTTGCCTTGGGGTAGATCTAGGGTCACTGCAGGACATGTGCAGAGACAGGTTTTAACCTCACAGAGAGAATGACCTTGCAGAGGAAAGAGGATCGGTTTTTCTGGTAGTGAGCTCCATACTGGGAAAGAGTTCAAACAGTTGTGTTAGGACTTGAGGACTCCGCGCAACCCTTGGAAGGTAGGGCTGTGTCATCCTCAGCATAGCCTTCAACCCTAAGGAAAAGTAAGTAAAAAAGACAAAAACTGTTTATATTGTTGTTGGTGTTTTTTTTTTGTTGTTGTTGTTGTTTTTGGCACTCGAGAGCAAACCCAGGGCTTTATGCATGCCAGACATAGCACTCTCCCACTGGGCTACACCCCTAGCCAAAATTTTTATATTTTTTTAGAATTTTGTTTTTATTTTTTTGAGGCAGGGTTTTGTTACGTAGCCCAGGCAGATTTTGAACTCATGATCCTCCTGCCTCAGCCTCCTGAGTGCTGGGATTGCAGGTATGTACCACCACATCTGGCCTAAAGTGTTCTATAATTCTTATTTATTTATTTACTTACTTATTTACTGGGGATTGAACCTAGAGCCTCACACATGCTAGGCAAGCTCTCCACCACTTTTGTCACAGCCCCAACTTCCAAAACTGTATTTTTATTTTATTTTATTTTATTTTTATCTTATTTTAGTGTTGTGCTGGGGGTACATTGTGGCATTTACAAAAGTTCTTACAATATATCAAATATATCATACTTCCAAACTGTATTTTTAGAACTTCCTGGCTCAGCACATGTTGGGATTTGTCTTGAGCTCCTGTGTTGTGAAAGACCAGGAGCATCAAGGCCAAGTCAGAGCGCCTGCCACTTGGTGGGGATGGGGCTGGTTGACCTCAGCTTGTTATGTTCTCTATGTGCTTCCACCCTTGGGGCAGGGGAGGGAACTGGAGTCCACTCCTATTGCGAGGCAGTGTAGCTTAGTGAGTGGTAGAGGTCTTGGTTCTGGAGTCAGAACTGAGTCTGTGTCCTAGCTGTGTGGTCTGTCTTGGTGTCAGTTCCTCAGGTGATGCTACCATAAACCTGGTTAGTAGCTGTCGGGACTAACAAGATGAGGGTGGGTGTGTTTAGTGCAGAACCCAGAACCTGTGCTGTGCTCAGCTGATGTCAGGGCTCACTCTTGTCCGCATGGCCAGCTGCCCCAGGTCCTCCCAGTTGGACACTGAGACAGGATGCACCATGGAATGGGGCTGATGGCCTCTACTTCTGTCCTGCTTCATTACCTTCTCCCTCCAGTTTACTTGAAAGCCCCGGATACAGCTCTCTGTTACCTCACTTGCAAATTCCTTATCTCCCCAAAGGCAGGTCTGCAGCTAGATGTTAGATGTTTCTTGAACTTGCTTATAGCATAGAGCAGATGTTCTTAGTGTGTGTCTTGGTGTCCTTGTGTTCCTTTCAGGGGGCCTGTGAGGTCAAAACTGCTCTGGTCATGATATTATATCAAGTGTCTTTCATACTTTTCATTTTCACAAAGGTGTTGAGTGGAATTTTCCAAAGTTTCCATTCAGGTATAAGATATTCAGAGATGAGACTCTGTTTCTATGAAGCAGGTATTAGACACATTACAAAATACAAAGCAGTGCTGTTCTTCTCACTACAGTTTTTTGTTTTTTAATAGAAAGTATAGTTAACATTTCACTAAAAATCTTGTGTGAATGTGTAAGGATTTTTAGTTATTTAAAAAAATTGGTAAATATTAAAAAATTTTTTCTTGGATTTAATTTCTAATCTGGTAGATAATTCTTAGATAGATGTAATGCATATTTGAAAAAGCTTTTTTGGAGCCAGATGTGGTAGTGCATGCATATAATCCCAGCACTCAGGCTGACAAAAGATCTCAAGGCCAGCCTGGGCTCTTTAGTGAGACCTTGACTTGAAAACAAAATTTGCTTTTAGGAATTGTAATTTGTAAAGGTGTACAGTGGTCCTAAGAGCAAAAAGTTTGGAACTTTGGCTAGGGGTGTAGTTCAGTGGCAGAACCCTTGCCAGTCACTTGTGAAACCCTTGATTTGATCCCAAGCATGGCCCCCCCACCAAAAAAAAAAAGAAGGAAAAAAAAAAAGGAATAATTGAAATTTTTAAGTTAAAATATTAGGCTCTGGGATCGCTTAGAGACCCATGTCCCAGTGTTGTGAGACCCAGACACATGATTTAAGCTTACTAGGGTTTTGTTTCCTGATCTTCAAAATGAGATCAGTAGCACCCATCTTATGGGGATTGAATGGGCGATATGTGAAAGCTCTTCGTGAACTGCTAGGCAGAAGTAAGCGCCACTAATGGTTGTGTCTGGGGGAGGTGAGATGTGGGTGCAACCTGTGTGTTCCAGGTGCTCAGGCTACCCTGTCCTCCTGGCTGATTGTGGAAACTTGAGTGAGGAACCTAACTTTGATGTTATGGCGCTCACCTGTAGGGTTGTTCTGAAGATTAAGTCAGTGCCTGGCATGTCCATGTTGGCAACAGTCGTGTGGGTGGGCATGACAGAGAGCTGTGAAACCCACTTTTCTGGGTGCTCACTGAGTATTTTCATGAACTTGGATTGGTAGGCTTTCCGTAGGTAATTTCCCCCTGGAACTGATGAGAGGGTGAGGAGTGGGCATGACCAGAAGGGGAATCAAGCATGTCACAAGGAAGCCTCATGTGTCAGATTCAGGTAAGACACTGTGAATGGAGTGATTCAGATCCCTAAGTCACCTGACCTCCAGAGCTGCTTGGGGAAGGCAGGGAAGGCCTTGAAGCTGTGAGTAAACCATAATGAGGAGGGAGGATGCTCCTGGAAGTGCTGACCCTGGACCCCACCTCCAGAGCTTCTTATCCCAAGCTCTGGCCTGGAGCACAGGAATGAGGTGGTTGTGGTGTTAGTTTTTAAATAGTGTGCATTTCAGGGTTGTGGATGCAGGCGGTTGGGCTCCTCCTCCTGGAACTCTGACAAACACTGGGCTAAGAACTTGAGGCACCTGCCTCCTACCATGGTGAGCTGGTCCTCCATGTTGTTGAGCTCCCTGTCCTTCTTGGCATTCCTAGAAGGCACAAGGCCCAGCTTTTGTCCCAAGGGACACTTGGTTTAAACAAACTGTTAGCCAGCAAGCATTAGAAGGGTGGTCAAGATGGCACAGAGACAGAAGAGAAACAGGTCCTTTGCATGTCGTGGGTCTCTGAAGGAGACAAGTGCTGGGTTCCCAGGGATTTGTCGGTCTCCCTCAGTCTCCCTAATCACATCCACATAATGAGATGGCTATCCTGAGCTCCTCTGACCTCACTAAGGATCTACCAGGGATAGGTGACATGCCAGGTGGGCTTTGTTTTTTACTTTTTATTTGCTGTGCTGGGGATTGGACTCAGGGCCTCACACATACTAGGCAAGGGCTCTACTACTTGAACTTTCATGACCCAGCTCTTTTGTTTTTATTTGGTTTTTGGAGTAGGGTCTCACTAATTCATGATCGTTCTGCCTTTGCCTTCTGAGTAGCTGGGATCGTAGGTGTGCACCACATCACCTGGCTTTCAGGTGGACATATTGAGAGGGCTAAATATGAGAGCTCCATGGATTAGTCTCTTTTCCCAGGACATTTGAGTGAAGTGCTTTCTCCCTGGATGAATGGATTGTACTCTTCTGAGAGTTGGATTTGTCAGAGGCAGTGGCAGTTGTTGTTCTTACTTAGTAAGAACATAAGGCATGGTGCTCTTGGTCCTGGAGACAGGTGTTGAAGGCCTGGTGTGGGCTAGGCAGAGGCCCCAGGATTTACCCACATCTCATCACATTTGGCTTAGCTGTGAGCCAGCAGCCTCTTCCAACCTTGCACACCTGGGCATGTTTGGGCAGGTCCCACTGGCTGAGCTAAAGTGCCCAGTCATGGTGGAGGAGGGTGGGGACATGGCCTGTGGGCCCCAGGTTCAGGGTAACTGCCTGGCCCTTGGAGATTTTGCTAGGTTCCAAGCATGCCTTCTTCCTCAGGCCTCCACTTGGGGCTCAGGGTAGCCTAGCCTGCCCCTGTGCTATGTGCAGGCAGACATGTCCCGACTAGGCAAGGATGCAAGCATTAAGGACTAAACTGTTCCATCCTAGAGGACTTAAAGCCAGGTTGGGGAGAGAGTGAGTGTCCTCAGCCAAGGCCAATGGCCTGGACTCGGGTCTCAGCTCCACCTCTTGCTGTCTGTGGTTCAGTGTTCTCATCCATGAAAAGGACTTCCAAAGGACCCACCTTGTGGGTTATGACTAGCTTAACACAAGGCTCAAGCTCAGAACAGTGGTAGCACCTTGTGAATGCTGTCCAAATGCAAGTTCACTTATGGTTACCTGCCCACAGGCACCACTGGGAAAGCACCATCCCCACCGCCCCTCCTCACTGACCGGCAGGTGAATGAGAAGGTGGAGAACCTCTCCATTCAGTTGCGACTGATGACTCGAGAGAGGAATGAGCTGCGCAAGCGCCTGGCCTTTGCAACCCATGGGACGACCTTCGACAAGAGGTAGTAATCTGCCCAGCCCCATGGTCACCAGCAAGTCACCTCCAGGCACTTACCCTTAGTTCCCAGGGTCCAGGTTGCACTTCCAGGGTGTCTCCTTGCCCAGGCTTCTCGTTCCTCCATACCCCCCAGAGGCAGAACCTGAAGCCTGGGAGGTACAGGCTTGTTTTGCTTTTTCCAAAACAAAATCAGAGCCTGTGGCCTGAATCACATAACATGGGGATTGAGAGGAGTGTACGTGTGTCCCCATCATATGCTTGTGTGAGAAGTGGGCTCTTATCAGTGTTTGTGGCAGAAGAGCTGGGGCCAGCCTCCTAGGTTTTTCTACTTACTTGCCTTGCAGGTGCTGGGTGGGTGGTCTTAGCAGCAGCTGGAAGTACCTGGTCCTACTTTAGTGCCTCTCACTGGGTTGGAAGCCCTCAGGTTCATCGTTACCCCACTTGGGGCCTCCTTTTTACCCCAATTTGCTGCATCCTATTGCTAGACCTGTGTGTGTGCATATGACTGGCACTGTCTCCCAGAAGGTCCAGGTCTGTCTCATTGTTGGATGGCGCTTTCCATGGTTTGTAAACACATTAACTGTTCTGTGCCACACATATATTTAGGAAGGGTGCTTTCCATCTGGAGTCTCTGGATTGAAGAAAATCTTTGTTGTGTCTATTGGGATTTAGAGATAGATACTAGAGTCCATAGGGTAGAACAGAGTCTATGTACCTGCATGATCCACAGGGACTTCCTGAAGGAAGGATACAGAGCAGTGTTTCCTTAGTTTCCACACTGGTAGGGATCTTGAGTGGAGTTACTAGTTTGAACACTTGAACTTAACTTCTTTGTTTCAAGAGTGTCAAGGTCTGTGCTTCTACTTTCTGTGCCTCTGGGATGATGCCAGGGCTGCAAAGCTTGATTCCTGAAATGATCTTTCTGAGGATCTGCCTCTTAGTCAGACCAGCACCAACACGGGACAAGTGAGAACACAGATGTGTGAGCACATGAGTCAGCACACTAGGGTCTCCACAGACCAAATGTGGCAGCTGCCTGTTTTATTGGAAGACAGCCATGCTCATTCATTTACAAATTGTCTAAGGCTGCTTTAGTGCTACAAAGGCAGAAGGAAAGTGCTTAAAACAGGTACTGTGTAGTCTGCAAAGCTCCAAGTATTTACCAACTTGCTCTTTACAAAAAAGGTTGCTGACCCCTGCTCTAGAGAAAGGGTTCTCAAACTTGAGCATGCATGAGAATCCCCCAGAGAGCTTGTTAGAGTACAGAGAGCTGGTTATCCTTCCCTTCCTCCAGAACATGTGATTCAGGAGGTCTGCAGCTGGGCCTGAGAGTTTGCATGTCTGACAAGTTCCCAAAAGATACCTGTGCTGTAGGTCTGGAAGCCCTTCTTTGAGAACCACTGTTCTTGGCCAATGGTCTGATCCTTGGCTGCGTCTTAGAATCTCCTGGGGAGTTCATAGAACAGTCCTAGGATTCGGGCTATGACTTGGTGACCGAGTACTTGCCTAGCATATGTGCAACATGAAACCCTGAGTTCAATCCCTGGCATGAAAAAAAAAAAAAAGAGAAAAAGAAAAACAAAAAAACCATGTTTGTGTTCGACCAGCAGGGATGCTGACATAATTGGGCGGGGCATTGGCATTTTAATGTGTATCCAAGATTGAGAATCACTGTTCTGAAGGTAGGAGAAACTTTGTTACAGGTTTCTACTGAAAGCTCCTAGAGAGCAAGTCAACCCCTTCTCAGCCTTACAGAGCTGTGCAGGGAGCTCAGGCAGCCACGGTTCTCTCCATCAGAGGGATCCTGCCTTTGCTTGGCTAGGCAGGCAAAATAGCCCAGCTTAAGAACAGCAAATGTGTAGGAGACCAGGATGTAGCAGCCATGGAGCCAGGGTAATTCAGGACACAGCCCTCGGTCACGGTAAATTTTGGGGCTGGTGTTCATGGGGCCGTTTGCTTTCTGGGCCAGGCCCTACCACAGGCTGAATCCTGATTATGAGAGGCTGAAAATCCAGTGTGTGCGGGCCATGTCCGACCTGCAAAGTCTGCAGAACCAGCACACCAACGCCTTGAAGAGGTGCGAGGAGGTGGCCAAGGAGACCGATTTCTATCAGTGAGTGTGCCTGTTTCACAGGAACCCTGGCACCTGTGGAACGGCGCCATCTTCCCTTCCTTATCTCTGGACCTGCTCCAGGGGCTCTAGTTCTAGTCCTGCCTCTCTCTGCCTTTTAGCAAACAGCTTGCCTTTTGTCAGAGGAATTGTGCCCTTGGGCCTTAGTTTTCTTAAGTGTAAAATGAGGCTATTAATCCTTCACATCATTTTATTGCCAGCTTCAGAAGCCCATGTGTAGAGGAGCAATTAACAGCACAAAGCAGTCAGGCAGATCTGGGCCTCTGTCTCAGGGCCTTACTGCAGGCTGTTTCATGGCAGAGGCATGTTCTCCCTGGGTCTGGAGTACCCACTTACTATTTGCTCAGGTCCTAGTACTTGAGCAACCAGGTCTTCACCAGGCAGGGACTTGTCTTCTTGCCTTGGAAATACATATGCCCCTTTTGGTGTCAAGGTTTTAAAAAGTAGTTTGAGTCTTTCTGGAATTTAACACTTTGTTACTTTGGCCTGCCTCTGAGTGCTGCTGACCTGACTGCTGTGGGTTCCTTTCTTGGTCTTCACTGAGGACCTTGGGCTCAGAAGGGCTGGGGATGTGGTGTGAGAGGCTGGTTGTGCTCACTGTGTGTGTGTGTGTGTGTGTGTGTGTGTGTGCACTTTTAGCACACTCCACAGCCGGCTCCTGAGTGACCAGACTCAGCTGAAGGACGACGTGGACATGCTGAGGAGGGAGAATGGACAGCTGCTCCGGGAGCGGAACCTGCTGCAGCAGTCCTGGGAAGACATGAAGCGGCTTCATGAGGAGGACCAGAAGGAGATTGGTGACCTCCGTGCCCAGCAACAGCAGGTAGGACCTGCAGGCCAAGGTCAGTCCCTACCTACCCACATACTTGTTCATTCATATAATGATTTAGCAAGTATTTCTATCTGCCCATGGGAGACGTTGGGATGTTGGCGAGCAAGTGCTTAGCCCTTGCCTTCCTGGAAGCTGCCATTAAGTGAGGCAGACAGAGGTTAATAACATCATCCACACATTGCAAATCCTCATGAATGTCTTGGGCTGCTAAGGAGGGGGTTCTATGCAGTATGCCATGCGGGGTGTACAGAGGGACTTGCCTGAGGCTGACATTTGGGGGCCTGGAGCTCGTTTCCTTTGTGTGGATTGTGGGAGATTACAGATGGAAAGAAGCTTCGAAATTTTAACAACCCCAAACAAATATAAAGTGGAGCAATTCTCTTTGTAATTCACTGGGGTGGGAGCTTGGCCTATTGCTCTTGCTGCACCCTGCATCTCATGGTTGTCTTTTCACCTTGTTTAGCCCTTGGTTCACCTGACAGAGGCATAAGTAGCGGCTTGTCAGAACACTGATTTCTGTGCATGGAATTGGGCCAGTTCTTCCCCTTGTGTAGCTTGCAGTCTGGAACTGTTCTGGCTTCCAAGGGATATGGAAAGGGCTCTTGACAGGTTCTGTGTCTGTGGGTGGTAGAAGATTTGGGATGGGGAAAGACGAAGTTCCTCCGAGCACCATAGTCTGACTGAGCAGAGAGCACTAGCTCCAGCAGAGAGCACTTACAGTCCCTGAGCTGAACAGGTGTCTTGGGACTCACTCAAAACAAAGCTGGTATGTCATAATCTAAACTCATCTGTTAATCTGTCATATCATTATCTCAATTACTTTCTTGTCACTTACAATTTAAAAACTTTTTAAAAGTTTGAAACCATTACAGACTTGTAGAAAGTTTGCAAGTATGATAGAGTCTTCCACCCTTTTTCCTTCAAGAGTAATTTGTCAGTTTTATGCCTTATCACCCCAAGTATGATAATTTGTATTTCTTACAAACAAAGATGTTCTCTACAGCAGAAATGCAAACATTAATGTTGTCATCACCATCTGATCATCAGACTATGGAGTGCTGCCAGTCTCAAGTGTCTTGTAAAGGAAAGGATCCATTTCTGAGTAAAGCATTGCTTATAGGTAGCTGTCACATCTCTCTTGGTCTCCTTTAGTTGGGAACAGTTCCTCAGCTTTTCTTGACTTTCATGACTTTGATGCTTTGATGGTGATAGGCCAGTTATTTTGAAGGATGTTCCATGAGGATTTACCTGATCCTCATGGTTTGATTCAGTCTTTGTGTCTTTGACAGGAATATCAAAGAAGTGACACTGTGTTCTCATTGCATCCTTTTTTTTGTTTTTGAGACAGAGTCTTGCTGTATAGCCCAGGTTGGCCTTCAGCTTGGATCCTCTCCCTTAACCTCTTGAGTACTGCTGACTCATTACTGATGGTATTCTCTTTGGTCATTTGATTAAGGTGGTGTCTCCAGGCTTCTCCACTATAGTTACTTAGCTTCTAATTCCCCACTCCCTCTTTTTCTTTTTTCTCTCCTTCTCCATGGACTCCCAGTTTCCTTTTTTACTCAGTGGGTTATAATCCATATGGCCAGTGGTGGCTTCTTAAGGCTTGTTTCTTCATTCTTTTGACATGTCCCTGTCATTCCTTGAGCACTTTCTTTCCATCTGGAATAAAAGATATTCCAGGTTCATTTTATAGTTTCCCTACCCCAGCCCCTGGATTCAGCCATTTATTTCTTCAGGAAGTCTCATTCCTTTTAATGGAGAATGGTATTAGAAGGCAAGATCTGAGTACTGGGTGTGCCTGTAGATATCAAGGTGTCACTGCTTCCATACTCACAAAGTGGACAGAAATAGTGAATATCTGAGACCACACACATAAACACTCATATGTATTTCTAGATAGATATGTATATTGAAAGCCATGCGTTTATACTGACACTACAAGTGTATTCCAGTATGCTTCCTTTTCATTTTTGTAACCCCCTTTTAACAGATTTTTTTGGGGTAGTATTGGGGTTTGAACTCAGGGTTTCACATTTGTGAGGAAGATAATCTACAGTCTGAACCACACTCCTAGCCCTGTAACCTCCTTTTAAACCAGGGGAGAAACCTGGTTCCTGTTATTCTTAATCTATTTGCTTACTTCATCAGTCCTCTTATGTTTACCCACCTCCTGCCTCCTCTGCAGCCCCCTTCCCAATGCCATCTCCTGCTTACCCATTGTGGGTCTTCACCCCCCTCCCCCTAACCTCCACCTCTGTAAGTTCCCTCCTCCTTCCCTGCAGCCTTTGCTCCACGCCCATCACCCAGGTGTAGCCTTTTGTCTTGCTCTGCTTTACCTAATGGCTTTAAGGTTAAATTGTTCAGAAAGAGGAAGGACTTGGCTTTCTGTTCATTTTTATAATATTTTTATTTTTTGTAAAATTAATATGTATTTACAAAAGAATCAAACAATACAGACATTAAGAAAATATCAAGTACATTTCTTCAGTCTCACTGCACAGAGATAGCTCCCACGAATGTACTGCCAGTAAAAATTTGAGATTTTTATCTCTACATGTCGACATCTTCACATCTTATTAATTTACTAACATTTTAATATATCATGTGCATCATTATGTCTTGGCACAAAATCTACTTGATTGTTTTACAGAATATTGAGTTACATAAAAAGCATTGAAATTGATTTAAACAGTCTCCTATTGACTGACCCTTGGGCTATTTTCAGTATTTTCCACTATGAACTATATTCTCCTGAAAAACATGCTTCAGCAGTTTATTCTTTCTCTGATACTATTGAGGTCTCCTGAGGAGTACCAAGAGCATGCTCGGGGAGGGACCAAAGATGGATATTCTCAAAGCTATCAGGAGACTTTTTGTGAGCCCTCTGGCTAGGGGAATTGGTTGTGTCAGGTATAGGTGCTGGTATCAGAGGTTGGTATTTACTCATGAACCTTGACCAAGTCTTGGGATGGAAAAGGTTTCTGGAAGGGGACATAAGTGTAGGCCAAGGCAGCATGAGTCCAGCAAGGGCTGAGAGCCCTGCACACAACAAGGAGATTGTACCACCTGCTTCAGAGAAGGTTCTGTAACACTCTGCTCCCTTCCCTGTCCCTGTAAGGGGGGAGGGAGAGAAAAGAAGGGAGGGAGGGTGGAAAGGAGGGGGAGAGAAAGAGAGAGAGAGAGAGAATATGAATGAATTGCTTTAAGGATGACGTGAGATAGACACCAGTGAGAAAGGACACCTTGAGGACACCCAGTTTCTCCTGCAGGGCTCCCCTAGAGCAAACAGATTCAAAGACTGCAAATTTTCAGGCTTTTTTTTTTTTTTAGCGGCAAAAGCATTTGCTTCCAAAGAAATCTATTGGAGGAACCCAGTGTTTGAAGCAAGTGAGGAGTTCATCAAGGTGTCTGAGAAGTAAGAATAGCTGGCTGAGGTTTGTGTCCCTTCTCTGGGGTGAAAGGTGACTGTCCACCTGAGGGGCAGGTGGTCCTTCCCTATCCTAATCCCTGCTGTGTTCCCTTACTCATTGCTTGTTGATTTTTTTTGTTTTTTTGACTCTGGGCTAAGCTTGGGTCTATTAACCTTTGCCTTGGGCTTAGTTTGGATTTGTTTTTCATTGAGAGAGTCATAACTGCAGATGTGTTTGTGGCTTCATTTCAGCCTGCTAGAATGTATGAGTGGGGCCTTCTCAGTGTACCAGAGTTGGTCTCATAGGATTGTCACAGGGTGAAATGATGCCACATATAAAGACCTGGCACCATGTGCCAATGTGTAAAGCCCTCAAAAAATTGCTGTTAAGTCTGGATTAAAATCTGCCTCATTGAGGATGTGGAGAAATTAGAACCCTCATACATTGCTGGTGGTGATGTAAATGGAATGGCCTCTGTGAAAAACAATGTAGCAATTCCTTAAAAAGTTAAGCAACAGTTATCAGATGACCCAGCAATTGCATTCCTAGGTACATACCAAAGAAAAGTGAAAATATATGTCCACACAGAAACTAGGAGACATTGGAGTTTGTAGTAGCCTTATTCAGAGCAGCCAAAAAGTGGAAACAACCCAAATGTCCATTGACTGATAAATGAATAAATAAAATACAGTGTAACCCTGCAATGGATAGCATTGAAATGATAGATGTGATAATGTGGACAAACCGTGAAAACCTGGCAAGTGTCTTACTCAGCCTTCCATTATTGAACAGGTACCTAAGAAAATCAGTATATAAGGAGGAAAGGTTTATTTTGGAGCTTTTAGTCCATGGTTTCTTGGGCAACTTGCTTCTGGGTCTGTGGTGAGGCAGCACATCATTGTGGGAGCACATGGTGGAGGAACCTGCTCACCTCATGGCATCTGCAAAGATAAGAGAGGAAGGGGCTGGGGTCCACCTGCTATCAATGGTATCTCATGCTGGGGAACCATGCCCTTAATACATGGTCTTTGGGGGAACATTTTAGAGCCAAAGAACAGCAGCAAATTCAAGAAACTGGTTCCAGAGTACCATGTTATGACTCCAAGTACATGAAGTGTCTAGAATAGGGAAGTCCATAGAAGCAGCAGTTTGTCTTAGGTGATGAAATGTTCTGGGATTTAGATAGTAGTAGTGGATGCACACCTTGTAGCTTCATATCCTCATGCATATACCAAAACCTACTGGGTCGCACTCTTGAAAAGGATGCGTTGTGTAATGTGCACCTCATAATTAAAAGGACAAAAAATATCTTCAGTTTCCACCTTCTCATTAAAAAAAAAAATCTGCCCTCCTGAGGCATAAAGTCTCCTTGCCTCCCACTCCCTGGCTTTCTAAGGACAAGCATTCATACTGCACTTATTCCCTCCCATGCCCTTCCCTTCTCTCTTCCTTTCCTGTTCACCCCACAAATGATGTGGGAAGCTTTTTCTTCCTGCCCCTCCCCGCAATTTCCTCCTCTTTCTTTTCCTATAGCTAAGGCTCTCGGTGGCAGAGAGTGTACGGGTAGGATCCAGATTT